TGAGACTATATATATATATATATATATAACATCTGGAATGGTGTTGCGAATTTTCAATAATTTATGGTCCCTTCAGAGCTTATGAAGTGTTTAAATTCTTGGCTATAATCGACTTCACTGTTTTAAGTGATATAATAGATTTTTTTTCGATAAAGGTATCTAATGTATTGTTAGAATAGGAGAAATATTTGTGTACGTCTAACGTTTACGCAGAGTTCCGTACGTCGGTAGGTTACATGGAGGACATTGGAGGGTTATATCCGTGTTATATTTCCTGTAACATTTTTGTAACCTATTTTTAACTTACAAATATATAGAAACAGAAGCGTGAAAGTTACTAGTTACAGAGAGGTTACAGGAGGTATAATGTGGATATAACACTTCAATACCTTACATGTAACTTACTGACGTACGCAGCTCTATGTATGTTAGACGTACACAAATATTTCTTTTAGAATAGACTAGTGTAGAGTTGAGTGATATTTATTTTAATGCCCCCATATTAACTTTTAATTATTGGCGGCTTGATTAAATGGAATGGCGGGAATGTTTTTATTACAACGTAGAATTGAGAAAAAAAAGGCAACATTGCATGCTTATGGTTTGTTAAGTAGTTCTTAATGATCCTATATTGTGAGTGAGATATTTAACGCTGAATCAGTTATTATAAAATGGGTGCTTGTTAATTAGTAGATTAGTATACAAATCATTTGTGTAATAGCTGCTAATCAATTTTGTTATTCCCTTAGTTTAGTATTTTATAAGTAATCTTAATTAGGGATAATGAGGGACAAATAATCAACAATTTTCAAAGATTGGCACCCTTTTAGTTCACTTTTAATGTTTTTTTTTTAATTATTTCTATGATAGAAATGCATGTCAAGAAATTTCAGAACGATTGACTCGAGTGACTGAGTCTATTTTGATCCAACTTGATGACTTTATTGCGATAAATCAAACTAAAAATGGTAAAGATAATCTTTATATAATATGATCATTAACACCAAATTTAAATAAATCAAAAGGGCTCGAAAATATTTTTGGATTATGTACATACCTGTGATTAAAGCTTAGGAATTTTTCAAAATTTGTTTAGTCTCAATGTAAAAAAATTTATTTTTGGAGGTGAGTGTAATATAAATTATGATTGATCATTTATATATATATATATATATGTAAACGAACTGAACACGAACGAACATAACTTGTATTTGTGTTCGGTTCGTTTAAAATTTAGTTTGTTTGAAATAAGCTCGTGTTTGAAATTGTTAGTGAAGTCACTGGTCGTGTTCGTTTATCAACGAACGAGTCGAACACGAGCCGAACACAAGTTATTCGCGAACGACGAGCCAGTTTGACATCCCTAATATTAATATGTATAATTAATGTATTATATTACTTATATAACTTATATTATATAAATATAAAATATATATTAGTATATTACTAATATAGTATAGTAATATATTATTATTATTATTTTATTATATATTATAATTTATAAAATTTAATTTTTTAAAATATCATAAATTTTTTATATATAATCATTTTAAACTATTTTATATTTCGAACAATATCGATTAAACATAAACGAACGCATCGTTGTTCTTGTTTGACCTGTTTAACTAACCAAATGAAAAAAATTTGTTCACGTTCGTCCCGTTTACTTATCGAACGAACCGAACACGAACTCATTGACGAACCGAACACGAATTATTTGCGAACAATAAGTTTTTTTGACAGCCCTATATATATATATATATATATTGTGTGTGTGTGTGATGCATACTCAGATTAGTTTGTCAGACATCTGCTTGTCAGTTGTAAGTCTCCTCTGGTTTGGGGTTCAATTCCCCTCGAGTGTGTAAGTTTACTCTGGTATGAAACTCGATTCCTCTCGAGTGTAAGTTTTGGTACTAGAATTTTTACCCGTGGCTCATATGATAGTCTTCCATCATTTTTTTTAATATATATATATATATATATATATA